CTTGTAGAGGTGCCTTGCTCACTGCAGGAGACAATGAGGGAATCAAAATGGCTGATGAGCATTTCTCATAATTATTTGAGAGGCTTTCTCATAATTATTTGTATTGGGTTTTTAACTGAATTGTTTTAAATTCTTTGTTTTAAAATATCTCTGATTTAATAATTTTTTAAGGGGGGAGGGAGGTATTTTTCTATCTATTTATTGTTATGTATTTTATTGATGTATTTTTTTGTATTTTAATCTGTAAGCCGCCCGGATTGGGCTTCCATTGGGCGGAGTAAAAATAAATTTTATTATTATTATTATTATTATTATTATTATTATTATTATTATTATTACCAACCTACTAGATGTTCACCCTCCTCTGGGCTTTCACCCAGTGCAGTCCGTTCCTCCGCAACTTCTTAGTTAGCCACTGATACAGCCCACAGGCTGCACTTAGGTTATAAGGGGCTTCTAAACTGTAGCAAAATACTCTCTGTTAACATTTAAATAGTGCACATCTTTTTTTGGCAGTGTTATATAGTCTCTTATATACAAATTATGAATATATTTTTGTCATGAACACTTAAGGCACATGCATATTTATTATTACATATATCAGTTTATAGAAGTAGCTTTGTAGGACATACCTTAGGGTGTTATTGCATGCTCCTATAGTGTGCTTTCCAGACAGGCTTAAGCAGACTGCCAGAAATAGTGCACATTAAATTGAGGCACTGCCCTGGCTTAGTGCTAGGGAATCATGAGAATTGTATTTTTTTCTGAGACATTGAGCCTTCTCTGTCAGAGAGGTCTGGTGCCACAATAAATTACAGTTCCCATGATTCCCTGCCAACAATTTTAGCTTGCAACTAGCCTACTTACTCCCAGGAAGTCTGTGCATGCTAACATAACTCTCAAGCTCCTACCCCTACAGGAGAAAGCTAGTTGTCCAGCCCCAAGGTTGTATCTTTGCACAGCCTTAAGTCCCATACATCATTTCTGCCTGCCTGCACATTTCCCATAAAATCAGCAAAAGGTAAAATAAAGCCATACAGGTCTGGATTATCTTTCATCTCCAGAAATATCTTGGAAAAGTTCTCATTTTCTCTTCTGTTTTTGAACTGAGTTTTACTATTAGAAATTCCTATGTCAATGATGAGGTGGATGCAAAATATTGGAAAGAAATCCCATTAGAAAGCTGGGAGAAAACATGGAATAATAATGTAAAGTTCACCAAATGTAATGACTCAAATAAATTTTTTTATAAAATCTTCTTCAGGTGGTACATGTCACCATCTAAGCTGGCAAAAATCCACAAAAACAAGAACAACCATTGTTGGAAATGCAGAGAGAGAGGTGCCACACTATATCATATGTGGTGGAAATGCTCTAAAATAAAAAACATCTGGAAAAACATATATATGTTTTTGACAGAAACTCTACAGAGAAAAATACAATTAATCCCAGAATTATTTTTATTAAACATAACAGATGGGATACAAGACAAACCCAACCTCAAAGAATTAAGTGTGATACTCTACATGATAACAGCTGCATGTATAATTTATGCCAAATATTGGAAAAACAAAATAACACCGATGGATGAATGGATTAACAAACTAAACAACCTCACTACAATGGATAGGTTAACAATATACATAAATAGTAATTCAATTCAAAATTATGAAACAAAATGGAAAAAAGTAACCAAATTATGAGAAAAGTAAAAGAAAAAAGAAAAGCTAAGAGATTTATATAATATAATTCAGAAAGAAGGTAAGGAAGTAGAAAACTAGCTAAAACAGATATACACCTTTCCTAAATGAAGTTAAGGAGAAAACAAAAAATGTTTTAATTTATTTCTGATGGCAAAATTAATGTAGCAACTGGTGAAGAAATAACAAGCAAGAACAATTGTTTATTGACTTAGGAAGTGGTATGGAAGATTGTGAAAAGGCAAATGGGAAATAATATGGAGGATGGAAAGCGGGTGATGGGATTTAAAGGAATGAATGTAGGTATGTGTAAGTTTGTATATATGGAATGTTTACCTTGTTAATGTACATTATGGGTAAATGAAATAAAAAATTAATACAAAAAAAGAAATTCTTATGTCAAGAATTATAACAATGTGGTTTATTAATAATAATGTTTATATGAGACATTGCATAGATAGGTTGATGTAGTGGCTCAAGTGGTTAAGATGCTGACTCTGTTGATTGCAAGATTGGCAGGTTGGCAGTTCGAGGCCCAGGTGCTGCATGATGGGGTGAGCTCCCGTCACTAGTACCAGCTTCTGTCAACCTAGCAGTTTGAAAGCATGCAAGTGCAAGTAAATAAATAGGTATCACTTTGGTAGGAAGGTAAACAGCGTTCTGTGAAATCATGCTTGCCACATGATCACAGAGTAGTCTCTGACAATGCTGGCTCTTCAGCTTAGAAACAGAGATGAGCACCACCCCCTACAGTCGCACACAACTTGACAACCTTGTCAATGGGGAATACCTTTACCTTTTTAGATAGGTTGGATAACTTGCTCCCCTCTAGGTATTGATGGACTACTACTTCTAGTGTTCCTCACTTTTGGCTATACTTATTAGGCTGATGGAAGCTGCAGTCCAGTAATATCTATAGGATGACAAGTTGTCTACTCTGATTATGGGTGGAGACATACTGGCACAAGTTAACAAAACCTTGATTCAAAATACTTTATTGCAATTCTTTGTCTGATGAGATCTTTTTTAGTATTCATTCTAATCCCAGACTTTGTTTTCTGCAATGCACAGCTGAAAATGGAGGATCATCCTTTGCATAATTGCTCATTGAAGATATGTATGTTTCAACACAAGGGGAATTAAGCCCTGGCTTTTCTATTCTAGTGTAAACATTTGGAACAAATTTGTCAGGAATCAAGAGATTTAGCCAGCAAAGAAAAAGGCAATTTTTTGTTTATGAGACACCTGCCCAGACTCGACATTCCTTTGTTTGATTCGTTTTGCAGTAGTTTTGCAGATCCTGGAGCAACACACAGCAGCAGTAAAGAATTATTTCCCTCCAGTTTAAACAGCAGGGATGCTGGCTTTGAAAACTTTGCTTGCATAGGAAATGAACCCTTGATTTCTGTTGACATTTGCAGACGAGGTGTAGGTGGTGTTTGTAACATTTTTCAAAGCTCCTAGGTTGTGTTTGTTCAGACTCTTCACACAACTGTGAAATGTGATAATGCCAGGCAGTGGGTGCATGGATATCCCCTGGGAAGCAGCATATTTGAGAGTTCTTTGTGTGTAAAGATGGTTTGTGTCATTATAAATCCCTGCTTCCTTGCCAGAGATGCTCTTGGACACATGGTGCCTTAATTACCAAAGCACTGAGCTGCGTGCCTGTGTATTTTCCCCCCATATTTTAAACAAAACCACTAAATTGACTGCTGTGGGCTGTAATTGCTGGGAAAGTTCATAATATAATGTGAAGAACACTCCCCCAGCTAACATAGCAGTGGGAGGCCTAGAAAAGTTTGTAAGCCGATTCTCACAATTCTTGCAGGCACTGCAGTAGGTAAAAATGATTATCTTTTCTCAGCATTAGGAAAGCCAGGAGGAAATGCTATCCAAAAAAGAACAGAAGATGGATGAGGATGAGCCATGGAGGGGGATGATGCTTTTCTCTGATACAGTTTCATATGTTTCAAAAGTTCATATTTTGTCATAGAATCATGGATTTAGAAGACATTTCATTAACCTTCTTCCATGCAGGAAGCCACAGCAAAAGCATCCCTGAGAAACAGCTATCCAACTGTTTCCAAAAACCTCAAAAGAAGAAAAGGTCACCACCTTCTGGGGCTATCTTTTCCACTGCTGAACAGGTCTTGCCATCATTCCACCAATGTTAGATGGGACTGGCTTATGTGCTAGTCTCTTGGGCAGCAGAAAGCAAGTTTGCTCCATCTTCTATTTAATATCCCATAAGTTATTTCAAGAAGGCCATCACATGTCCACATATGTGCACCACAAGACTAAACTATCAGAACTTTCAAGGGTTCTAGTGCTCACCCAGTATTCAGTTTCCTTGAAAGAAATCATAGGTGACTTAATGGAATTTTTGTAAAGTTTATTTACACAAATACCATAAGATTAGATTGTTCTTAGCACTGATACTATATAAATAGGTTTTAAGCTATCTAAAAGAAAATATTCTCCCATATAAACCTGCCTGGGTTTTGAGATCCTAAGGGACCCATTATTTCATTTTGTCATCCTCAGAGTATATACAACAAGGATGTGAGACAGGGCTACTCCCAGGCTGTAGTGTTCCCTGCTGAGAGAAAACAGAGTGGTCCCTTCCTTACTGTCCTGCTGCCAACAGGCATATACATTTTATGCAGGTAGGGTTTTTGGCAAATATAGGTTGCTGAGGAAGGCACTGTTAATGGGTGAGTGGATGACCTTAGGCAAGCCACATGCTCTCAGCCTCAGAGGAAGGCAATGACAAACCTTCTATGAACAAATCATAGAATCATAGAATCATAGAGTTGGAAGAGACCACAAGGGCCATCCAGTCCAACCCCCTGCCATGCAGGAACTCCCAATCAAAGCATCCCCGACAGATGGCCATCCAGCCTCTGCTTAAAGACCTCCAAGGAAGGAGACTCCACTACTCTCCGGAGGAGTGTGTTCCACTGTCGAACCGCCCTTACTGTCAGGAAGTTTCTCCTAATGTTGAGGTGAAATCTCTTTTCTTGCAGCTTGCATCCATTGTTTCGGGTCCTAGTCTCTGGAGCAGCAGAAAACAAGCTTGTTCCCTCCTCGACAAATCTTGACAAGAAAACCCCATAATAGGTTCACCTTAGGATTGTGATAAGTTGGAAAAAATATGAAGGCACACAATACACACACACACACATACACACACATACTGTAGCTTAAGGCTTTACTCTTAATTATTTTTAATTTAATTATGATTTGATTTTTTTAAGCTTTAGATTTTTTAAAAAAGATATGGGAGAATGCAAAAGTCAGTGTAGTGTGGTGTAGTGGTTTGAGCATTAGACTAGGACTCTGAGATCAGGGTTTGATTCCCTACTTGATCATGGAAACCCATTGGGTGACCTTGGACAAGTATCATTCTCTCATCCTCAGAGGATGGCAATAGCAACACCCCTCTGAAGAAACTTTCTAAGAAAACCCTATGATAAGTTTGTCTTAGGATCACCATAAGTCAAAAATGACTTGGAGGCACACAACAACAACAACAACAACAACAGGGAGAATGAATAACTGAAAATCCTGTTGGCCCATCTGTGGTTTCATTCATATGTTTAACTCATCTGTGGGCTCCATTTAACCTAGGGCCCATTCACATTATAGAATTATAGCTTTTTGGTTCACTTTAATTGCCATGGTTCCTTTCTATGGATCCTGAGATTGGCAGTCAAGGGAAATCTCAGTCAGAGAGCTCTAGTGCATCACCAAATTATCAACCCCAGGATTCCATAGGATGCAGTCATGGCAGTTAAGGTAGAATCATAGTGCTATAATTCTGTAGTGTGAATAGACACCCGGAATGGGTAGACATGATATGAATCTCCATGTGTGAAAGAGGCAGCTATTGCAAGTCCTTCAGTATGCATGGATTCAATGTAAATTCTGGACCACAATCAAATTCCTGCTGCCACACTACCCATTCCCAACTCACAAATATTTCAGGTACAATGAAGCAACATTTCTTTACATACAACTGCAAATCCACACCATGGTCTCACTCAGCTTCACTCAGAATAGCAGCTCCAATTTGAAAACAGCACGAGTGAGGGGATGAAGTTTGAAAGGGAGAGAACCCTGTGTTTTTATTCAACTAAGTTTTGATTTTTAGTATGCATTCAAAACATATTTCTAGCACACTTTATTATTTGATTTCATTTTATTTTTTTTAAAAAAAGATTCAAAACATCCAAAACTTCATGTCACAGTTCCACTAATAAGCAGCCTACAAAGACCCCAGCAAACACATGGGGTTGTAAAGGCACCATTCCTATTGGGTTCCTGCCCTCTGAAACAAAGCAGCAACCATTGCCTTTCCTCTTTGATAGCATTTTTTAAAAAATGTTTTGTATTCTTCTTGAAATATGAAGGAATACTGACATCTATGGGTCACCAGCTTCATTACAAAAGGAGAGATTGTTGTTTCTTCTTGCTTTGCTTAACATGTCACCCATGCTCAAAACTACACTTTCCACATTGGATTGATCTTCCAGATTTCAAATATGTAGATATGGATAGAGACAGAGCTTAGGAAGTCACTTCTTAAAAGTAAGTAATTACATTTATAATGCCAGTTCCCCTATTATCCTATATTTATCCTATAACTATCATATTATCGTATCATAGTTACTATTTAATTTCTTATTTTTCCAAAATAGCCAAACTAGTTACTATTTAATTTATTTTTTTAAAAAAATCAGAATGATGTACACATCTGGCCTCTGGTTCTAACCATGCCAAAGTAAGTAAGACCATAACACTCTGTACTCATAAAACTAAACCCATTACACTGTTATCACAAAAGGCATGATGTTATCCGTAGTTACATTACAATCATTATATAATTTAGTCATGACTTAGGTACTGCAAAAGGAAATGAATGCCAAGTAATTCATTATTTGCAATGAGTTCTTTCTGAAATCTGAGTAGACTTATATAGATATAAATATAAAATAGTCAGGAGCATCTTTTGGTCTAACCAGGGGGAGACCACAATCCAAAATTTCAAAGTGGAACACCCTCCTAATCAGACTACTGACCACCTATGAAAATAGCCAAAGGAGAAATGGGACCTGTGTCTTAGATGCCCACTTTAAAGTTGCTGGTATAGCTATCCTAAAACCATTGTATATAATGAGTTTGGGAGCCAGGAAATCAGGGTTTGAATCTCTGCTTCCCAGAGTGACTCTGGGAAGATGCACACTCTACTCCTCAGAGGAAAGCAAACCCCCTCTGAAGAACTCTGGCTAAGAAAACTCTATCATGAAGTCACCATAAATCAGAGTTCACTTGAAGGCATTACATTAGATTCTTGGACACATTGCTGATGTTGGGCTTTTGTTGCTGTTCCTTCTCTTTTGGAAAATTAAGCAGAAGAGACTGGACTGGAACTACACAGCATCTTCAGTCATGGAACCTGCACTGAGAGAAAGGCAGGATCTTAAATAAGTAAATGGATTCAGGAAGCTGTGAGAAAAGCTGCTACAGCAGAACCATGTGGCAAATGAGCATTGTGTGAGACCAGATATGGGTCTAAGTCAGCACAGAATCTACAACTGAATTATAGTCATCCACAACTGTTTCCAGCTCCCGCTGGTTTAACAACAGTGGGAACCAAAGCCTGTTTTTATTTATCTGAAGCATGTATATATTGCATCTCATCCCTCCAGGATCTCGAAGGCAAAGTATGATGTATTTGTCTTCCAATTTTGTTGCTGCGTAATGTCAAGTTGACTTTGATTTATGGCAACCCCATGAATGAAAGACTGCCCAGGTCACCCAGTCATCAACAGCCCTGCTCAGATCTTGCAGACTCAGGCTGTGGCTTCCTTGACTGAGTCTATCCATCTGTAGTGCAGTCTTCCTCTTTTCCTACTGGTCTAACCAAGCATTGTTGTCTTTTCTAGTGAGTCATGTCTTCCCATGATATGGCCAAACCATGATAATCTCAGCTTAGTCATCTTGTTTTATAGGGAGATTTCAGGATTGGTTTGCCCTAGCATCCATTTACTTCTCTTTTTAGCAGTCCACATTATCCATAGAACTCTTCAGCATCCCATTTCAAATGAGCTGATTTTCTTCCTGTCAGTTTTCTTCACTATTCAGCTTTCATAGCCATATATAGAAATTGGAAATACTATGTCATAGTCAAGTCTTAACTTTAGAATTCAATGTATTCTTTACACTTCAGGAACTTGTCTAGTTCCTTCCTAGCTACCCTTCCAAATCCTAGTTGTCTTTTGATTTCTTGCCTGCAGTCTCCATTCAGACACTGAGCCAAGGTATGGAAAATCTTTAACTACTTCAATGTCTTTATCATCTTCTTGAAAGTTATGTAAATCATCTATGTTTTCTTAATGTTCTGCATTTTTGTTTTCTTAATGTTCTGCATTAAATCTGCCTTTTCACTTTCTTCTTTCACTTTCTTCAATAGTAATTCCAAGTCTTTGGTAGCATGGTGTTATGTGCATATATTAAATTATTTATGTTCCTTCCTTCAGTTTTCATGTCTCAATTCTAAATTAGACTGCAGAAATTAAACAAGTTTGCCAGAGTGAGTAAGATGGGTCAGAAAAGGAAAGGGGAAAGTCATAGACCTGTCTATGGAAGGATATGTGCATATTCCAGTGATAGTACTGAAAGCAAACACTATACTCTCCAACTCCTCCAGTTTGTCAAGGGGAGTCCTGATTAATTCCCTGTCATCCCATTCTTTCAGCTGCTATTAAAATATCCCAGTTTTTTTCTCCTCCTCCCACTTTCCCCTTTTGTCCAAAGTTTATTCCAATTTTTGCAGACTGAATTCAAAATGCAAAAGTAGTTTTCACACTACTGACCCAGCAGGATTGAGAGCCAGTGTGGGTTTGAGTGCTGGACTATGACTCTGGAGACCAGGGTTAGATTTCCAGTTTGGCCATAAAACCCATTGGATGATCTTGGGCAAGTCACATGCTCTCAGCCTCAGGGGAAAGCAATGGCAAATCTCCTCTGAATAAATCTTGCCAAGAAAACTCCATGATAAATTCATCTTAGGGTGTGCCATAAGTCAGAAATGAATTGAAGGCACATAGCAACAACAACAACAATGGATAGGAAACAACAGGAGTGGATTCCTGCCCTTCCTAATAGGTCAATATTTCCAATATCCCAAAAGCAAACTGCTGCAGCCTCCTCTAACTTGTGTGCATTTCCTCATAAATACCATTTGCCATCTTGAGCACACTCTGATGTTGCTTGGCTACATGTGTCCTGGTTCCATCTGTGAAATGTTGCAGAGTATATAATTCCCAGGGTGAACATGTGTTTAGGGGTCTATTAGATGTACAGTTCTGCATCCAGCTTCTACTATGGCTCCAACTGGTAACCTCAGGGCATCAGTGAAACATGAAGTAGACCCCTGGAGGCCTAAGGATTTCCACACTACCAGTTCAGAAGTGTTTTGCTTCCTATTTGTCGAATGTAGCTTCCAGCTGTTGTGCTCCATTATGCAACTTCATTGATATTCACAGCCAGCAGGGCACTCCACTCGAGAAACTGTCATCTTCCCAACTTCTGATCTAGAGCATCCTGCCATACACTTGTTTGAAAAATAGCTTTTAAAAAGAGCTGGAGCCCTATGAGTTATACTGTTGCTCCCCGATCAGGCACTATAATCCTATGTGTGTTTACTCAGAAGCATTCCCTCTGAAAGTAGCGGAGATGATTGCCTAGTAAGTGTCTTTAGAGCTGTAGCCTAAAGCTATTCCCATTGCACCCACAAAGCCTTTGGACAGCATGTCACTACCATATTACAGTGTTAACAATGTAAAGTAGTATTGCACAACAGCAAAAATGGAGCCAGAGTTGGCAATGACTGGGATAACTGCTGAAACACCAGTTTAACAGCCCCTAGGCATACAATTAACATTTTTAGTAATTCTTATTATTCTACATTTTATTTAGAGAAAAATCATGACTTATGTTTTTCATCCAACAGTAAATCATCATGATTAATCTCCAAGATATTGTTTCTAGTTTCCTAATGGCTCAAAAAAGTGGGGGGTGCCTGGCATGCATACTGATTCAGCTTTTTGAACTGAGCTGTTTCAGCTGTATTTGTTCCAGTACCTGCAACTTTTGACACAGTTACAAACTGTCTCTGTGTGTGTGGACGATCAGATATAACATTCAACATCTGAACAGCATACAGTTTTTCAGAGGAGATCCTTCATACAGAGGTTTTCTAGGGTTTTTGAGGGTTTTGTTGTTTTATTGTTCTTGCAGTATTCATGCTTCTTGATTCATGAACAATGGAAACAAGGGCTAGAATTTAGTATCAGACTTACATCTT